AACCGTTATCGCCGAATGAGGGGGCGTGTTTAACATTTATGATGAGCCGACATCGCCAAATGAGGGGCGTATTTAAGATATAGGACAAACCGGAATCGAAAAACCTGAGGGGGCGTGTTCAATGTGTGTATATATATATATGAATGATGAACAGTCAGCGCCAATGAGGGGGCCTGTTGAAGATTTGTGATGAACCGTTATGATGAACCGGAATCACCAAATAAGGGGGCTGCATGTATGATGAACCGATATCGCGTCTCGGCTTTATGGCTTTACGTTTCTGATGGCACGATGCTCTTTAAGGCAAGCCTGCGCGGTCCAAAAGCAGAGCAGGGGGTTGGGCGTCTAGGACGGGCTTTGAAAGGCCTCATAAGAGTCATGAGTTATGCGCTTGGCTTGCCATTGCACATGGCCAAATAGCGTTCTTGACGGTACGACGTTCACAGGGCTCAAGAAAGCGGAGGGGTTAAACGGCGCAGACCCCCCCATCTGCAAACGCCATGCCAAGGGGATTGGCAGTTCATCACATGTGCTCTCGTTTGACGATTCGGTTCAGCATATATCTAAAAGCTATCCTCATTTGGCGATTAAGGTTCCGTTGTTAAACACGCTCCTCATTTGGCGATTCCGTTCTATGTCTTAAACATGCCCCCTCGTTTGGCGATTGGGTTGCCGATTCCGGTTCACCATGTATCTTAAACTCGCCCCCTCACTTGGCCCAGAGCCTGAACTGGAAGGCAACGGGGCAGACTGGCGGGGCCGGACCGTCGGATGTACAGACTGAGTGAGCGATCGAGGGCCGAAGACCAGTAGGCCGAAAACCATACAAATACACAAAAAAGCCTCGCATACAGCCTCCGTTGTCGCCATCCCTGTGACTCTTGCAAGTTTTGTATATGGATCGAACCGAAACCAAAAAACTACCCAGAAAGAATTACAGAAATACCCAAACAAAAACCGGAACCCCCCAAGCATCGAGTATCTTGCTTACCCACCGTGCCGGGACCGGAACTTGGGGATGCAAGCTTCCTCCAAGCCATCATCTAGGGCAAAGTGGGACGTGCAGGACCACTTCGTCACGTGACATCACTTTCTGCCTTCGAGCAGCTAGCAGACAAAGCGGAGCGGCTGCGGCTCAGGCAGGAGATGGAGGACAGGGTGTCCAGAGCAAAGCTAACATTCGATCCCTTGTGTGTGTGTGTGTGCATGCATGTTCTGTCACATGTCGTGAGCGCGTGGAAGACCATTGGAGCAGGAGCGCGTGACAGACCGCCCGGCGCGCTACGGAGACAGAGCCTCGGATCTGCTTCGGCTTCGCCTTGGTGTGAGAGATGCGTTATGGAGAGACCCTTCTTCCCTGAGGCGCGACACCTCGCAACACCGGTCGTCGTTGTGTCGTCCGAGATGAACCCCTGGTCGAAAACAGGCCTCAGCCGGCGCATCGGTGATTCTCGGGGTTCGACGGGTTCTCCCGTAACTTTCGAAGCTGACCGGAGGCGGCCTTGCCATGGTGGTGGAAAGCTATGCATACGAATTTGCGATGCGAGGACGGGTTCCGGCGTATGCTTCTGAAAACGCAAGACAGAGGCACACCTGATTCTACGGATTTCTACATTTCAGGCCATCGGACAATGGCGGTGACACCGCGGTACGGCAACTACACCAACTGCAAGCCGGTCGGCTCGACCAAGGCACTGACATGGTGCATCCCGTGGGGTCTGCAGAGACCTTGAAGATCCTTGAAGCAGGTTTGGCTGGCTGGACAAGAGCATGAAGTGGTTTTCTACCATCAGCGACAGGCATTGGGGGGGCGGTGCGGTGCGTGATTGGCTAGAGAGCAAGATGCAAGACTGATACTACCGAATTCTTGCGTGTTGGAAGGATTTTGGCAATGGCCGCGGCTGCGACTATGTCTTCGTAGACCACAGCTGTCACGTTCTGAGATCTTTGGTGCTCCCAGACGTTAGCAGATGTGCAGGGCTCACTGCTCAGGCTTCCATCGTCCGCAAGGTCTCTACGGAGATCCTGCCAGTGGCGAGTATCCGGACAGGGATTGATGATGTGGGCACAATCGATGGAACCCACATCTGCTTGCGTTCCTGTACTCATCACGAGGACAATGCCTTCCGATTCTCCTTGCTATGTGTTGCTGCCACGGAAGCTCCATTGGTCGGCATCTGAGATGCAAGACAAGTGCAGCCGCAGAGGCTGTCTGAGCCAGTCTCAGTCTCCTCAGACTACTATGTAGCGGGGAGGCACTTGTCCCGAATGGCCAGCGCGCTTTGGAGGTGTTCTCAAAAGCGCCCGTGTTCCAGGTTGTGTCTCCCTCCTGCTGATGTTGGTCCCTACGGTGTCCTGGGGTCCTCGTGTTTCGGTGTCCTGGCCACTGCGTCTCGGTTTTCGTGTCTGTCATCGTGCGGCCGGTGTGGTGTAGGGCCTTTTGCCGTGGTGTCTCTGGGAGAGTCAGGTTTGTCGGTGCCTCTCTTTGTGTTTCGGTATCCAGGTCGGGCTATTTTTTTATCGCGGATTAGTAGGCGAGTTGTGACGCCGCCGCTGAGCCACAGAGCCGCGACCTTTTCCTGCTTCAAGCTAGGATCACTCGCCTGCCACGAGTCAGCTTCGCCGATGAGCCAGACATGCTAACCGTTCATGTTCCTACGAGATGTACAGATGTACAAAGCCGGCAGATCCTGATTGAGTCTCCCTCCGCTGGCTTGCTCGTTCCACACGTGTTGGTTCGGTTCGCGTTGAGAATGTTCTTCTTGCTGGGGTTTGGTGTGGACAGAAATTAGTGGCCGGTGTTTGTTGCAAGACTCTGCTATCAGCTCAATAACATCTGTTTGTAGCAGAGCCCGGTGATAATTCACCTGGCGCTGGCCGAGGTCTTGAACCTTGGTGGCTCCATTTTCGGTCAAGAGGTCCATGAAGAATGGACGCGCAAGAGAGAACTTCTCGTCCTCCGAACCTGGCATGTCGTGCTGGCGATATTCATGTGAAGGTCTGCTTCATTGCCAATGATTGGCAAACTGGCATGCTCCCTGTCGGGGACTCTGGGGGTCCGGATGGTGTTGTAGCAGCAGGTCTCTGTGTGTCTGCAGGCTTATCTCTTCTACAAGTACAAACGGAATGGCACCTACCTCAAGGCTCGGTGAACTCCACGACAAGAGCAGCTTATGCCAGCACGATTCAACAGGCGCGATGTCTCATGGTGCTACACAACATGGGGTATCAAGGCCTCTTGGAGCCTGTTGAGAGTAGTGCAGCCACTGCTCCACACTGGGAGCAGTCGAGTTGGCTTCGGCACGGCACGTTTGGTGCTGTGCTGAGGAAAATATCGGATGAGCCAGCACCCGATGGACAGGCAGCCAGAATTTCAGAATGCTGCATAGTAGCGAGCTCAAAGCTTGCGCTGCTCCTGCCGCAGGTTCTTCGGGCTGCCTTCCGATGCCAGCAAGGTGTGTCAGCGGAGGGTCCTTCACACGTAGCAATGCTGAGAGTTCGCTATGTGAACTTGTGAACAGTGGTGTCTACCACAGGGCATGGGAGCGTTTGTTGACGCGTTGGAGGACCTGGAAGGTGAAGACCTTCACTTTGGCGCGGACCAGTGGTCTTTGTCGGGTTACACTTCTGGGGAAGTGAGCAGCGGGGACATCCAGTTGTGCAGCATAACGAATGGCTGTGTGAGAGGGATTTCAGCAACCACCCTTGCGAGCAAGACTCAGACCGTGTTCATCAGCAGCCTCGCCATTTCCGGCAGAACCACAAAGTGTGTGACCTTTCATGGTGAAGGACTGTGTGAACCTTTTGGGTGCCGGCATCCGGATGGCAGATCGCGTCTTGTCGGCTCCTCAAAGCTGGTCACGAGACTCGACACCGTGATCAGATGTGGTAGGCACGTGTTACTCGGCAGCTTCTCAGGACGGTCTCACCCAACTATGCCTTCGAGATCCAGACACCAGAAGGCTTCTGTGCGCTGTCCTTGCCATATTAGCCTGTCTGCCTTGTGATTATTGGCATTCTAGGCGATCGGACGTTGTGCCTAGAGACTCCGGATGTCTTGAATCTTGTGCTTTAGTTTACCTGTAGGTCGTCAACTCGTCAATGGGTGTAAGACCGTCCAGTCATAGTTTGCTGTTGGCATTTCCTTGCCGAGCCGAGACCTGTCGCTTCATCGTCAGCAGTTCGGTGAGTTAGCTCGCGCTCTCTGACTGCCTTCCTGCTGCATGTTTATGGTGTCAATGCTGATTTCGGTCTCGTTCTGTCGCCGTCTCTCTGTCCCTCGCTCTTTCTCTTTCAGTTCTCTTTTCTTTCCTCCCTCATTGACTTAACTCTGGCGCAGCTTTGCATCTCGGGCAATAACACAGTCCCGAACTCTGGGACTCTAGGCTACCTTCTCCGGACAAAACAGAGAGTGGAGCATGTGGGGACTCGAAACTGTGCAGACGTTTGCAGAAACAAACACGTGAGATGAGGTATCAGCTTGTTTAAGCTCCCACCTGCCTTCGACTTCCTGGTTTGTCCCATGGCTTACACATCGTCATGCACTTGGTGGCCATACCGTGCGCTGCCGCTTCTTTTGTTGGTTGCCACTTTGTTGTCTGCCACGGTGTTTCCGTACATCGAGTTTCTTGGCGGCGGTTCGCCCATGCAATGCGTGCAAGGAGGACACCGAAATCACAGTGAATTTCCCTGTCAACGACCTATTGGGCATGCCACTGTGGTGCAGACATGGTGGTTGCCACGGATAGCAGATCGGGTGAACGGTGTGATCTCCAGCAAGGGACCGCTGCTTCCGTACCTTCTCCTTGTGACCCAGATCTGCACTGGAACAGTGGAAAAGACAGTGGCAGACAGGTGTACATGGTGCCGAAGTTATTCGTGGCTCTTTTTCGCACTCACGTGGTGGTTGTCCATGACCGGGTTGCGAATTGTCATATTCATCTGCGTACATCCATACAACTACTATTTCTCTGACCATATCTTTCTGCTGAGCAGCATGGTGGCACAGATTCAGATGTCCTTGGCAATGACATTGCAAAGACGGGAATCGAATGCAGGCTCCGATGCAGAACTTTGGATTTCTGTGGAATATCTACTGGCATCAGTGATGCTGGTCTTCATACTTTTCGAGGCATTCATTACAAGCTGGCTGTATCACACACTTCTCGCCAGTTGGCTAGCCATGCTTGTTTCATTGATTACTTTTCAGCCGATGATATACAGGTGGGTGCTTATCCTGCAGAAGGCAACTGTGCCGAGGACCGAGAGTTCCAGGAAGTTGATGGACGACCAGTGCCAACACGGAGGCTGAAAGGCTTGAGGGTCCCCACGCGTTTCACCACGTCACTGCTCAAAAAACGGTGTGCCAAAAAGGGGCCAAAGGCCCGAGGGCCCCAAGTTTTGCTCAGAGCGTCGAAGCGTCGCTTGGCAGGCGGGCTGGGACTTCACTCGGCGCTAAAAGCCAAGGCCGCTATGCGCAGAGCCGGGCGCACAGGCACACGGCTCTTGTCACCCTAATAATCCTTGGTGGCGGCGGAGATTCTTCATCCAGTGCCGGGGGGGGGGGGGGGGGGGGGCGAGGGCTTCGTGGGTTCAGCAAGGTCAAGGGGATTCTGAACGGCATCTCCGACGAGCCGAGGGCTCAGCTGCACTGCTTGGATGGACAGCATGCCGTTTTGGTGATCCATTCCTTGAGGTGGAATCCCATGACTGACCCCCACATAGCAGTCCGTCCGGACCTGGGCAGTTTCATCACTGATAGCTGCAGCTGTGAATGGCATGAGCGGAGCGAATTTTCCAGATTTGCACTGTCTTGGCCTCGCACCTCACCGCAGCCTTCGCATAGAAGCAAAACGCCATGCAGTCCGCGCACTGGGAAAGGGCCGTGACGGGTCAAAAGGAAGGAGAGAGGGACACGGAGCGACATTTCCGGAAGGGAGAGGCCAGGCAGCCAGGTCCAGGCGCGAGCTCTCGCTTTTAGACTCAGGATACGGTGTCAACAATTTCGAAGACGGCAAGCTCCGTTGCAAGGCACCCGTGCAGCACATCTGAACCAAACGTCCTGATTGCAACCTCGCGTTGTCGGCAAGAGCTTAGCAGCTATTGTTGCTTCCCCTGTGACATCAGAGTTTGTTTTAAAGGTCATTTCGAGTCATGACATGCACACGGTGAGTGTCCGCTGTAGCAAAGCAACGTGGAAGCACGTGGCTTCCACGCCAGGCGGAGCTCCAGCGGCAACTGGGCCTGCAGCAGGACGGGACCGGCCCCACTCGTCGAGAAAACTCACACGAAGCCAAACGGGCCGTGGATTTTTTCGATGTTCTTCAGTCTCAGTTCTGGAGCCAAGGCTTTACTCAGTACGAGTAGAAGCATGAAGCCTGCGAGGCTTTGAAAGCACAGGCAAGGCGATAGTTGCGGCAACAGGACACAGCCCCTGTACTGAGCATGTAAAGCATAACCAAGTTGAGCATCTTGAGCTTTGGAGATTCGTTTTCTTCAAGCTTGAGGTGTTGCGCTCATTCTGCTCTTTCGAGCTTGCTGCGTTTTGAGATTGCCGTGTTGTCGGAAAGCTTCCGTAAGCGGAGAAGTTAGGAAAAGGAACAAAGGCTCCGCGGTCATACAGGTGGGTTGTGGTGTTGCAGCGAAACAGAGGACAATCGATCAACAGATCAAAGAATTAGTTTCACAATCCATCCAAGCAAACACCAAATGCGATGAGTTCATACAAGAGCCTGCATCAGTCACGCTAATTGGTGGCCCTGTCTTCATAGAAATGCTGCAAGATGGAGAGATCTGTTTTGATTATGCTGACCGTGGGTGGCAGGAAATGATGGGCGAATGGGGGGTGTGGTGGGAAATGTGTTGGATGTACATACAGAGCTCCTTGACAGTAGTGTGACTGTCTTCCTGTGTGTCTCCCTCTTTGCTCGGGTGGGGCGTCGGCCCTCGACGTGCGCAGGTAAGTTGCTCGGCAATCGCGGGTCTCCCGAGATGAATGCAGTCGAAAAGTTCTGCAGGCTTTCTGCAGCCCACCCACTCAGAACCCATGAACCTTCGAGATTTCGTCCATGCGAAGGGAAGTACGGCTCTTTGGTGCGATGATGCTCACTGGTTCTGCTTGTGGTTCGCGGGCCTCAGCGTGGCAGCAGATTCCAGAGAGAATCTGCGGTCATCACAGTTGCCGAAAATTCATTCTCACTGACATGAGCCGAAGATCTCGGTGATCATGTGGCGCAACGACGATGTGCACTTCACCTCTGAGTCGCCGATGTTTCGGAGGCAAATGCCTCGACTCGAAGGAGGTCGAGGCCTACCCCGCTTCCGCGAAGCTCATCCACTCAACTTTTCTGGCAGAAAAGATCTCCTTCTTGGGCCAGTCCCCCCGGCCGATACTGAAAGGGCGTCCACCGGCACAGCCTTGAGTGCTAGTGGCTTTGATGCAGGCGATGAATGTCAAGCAGAGCACTTGAGCTTCTGCGAGCCCGAGCTTCATCTAAAGCCCCGATGACGCTCAGGCGGGAGGGACGACTCCTGACGCCAGGCACACCCGAGAACTATCTATCCGTCCACCCGTCTATCCAAGGCTGAGTCTGAACGGTGTATATTTCAACGAGCCGGGAAAAGGTCATGATCATGGCATCCTTTCCCATAGTTTGTCAAATGTCCTTCACTCGCTCCTTGAGCTGACCGGCATGTGAGTGCGAAGCTAGCTTGGGTTTGTTCTTGCAAGAAGAGAATTGTCTCCACCTTGCAAGGTTAGTTTAGGGCCCAGAGATGAACTCCGTAGGACCGGGTTTGTTTCCGGGAGGAGAGAGCAGCAGTAACTAGCTTTCTCTCGCAAGTATAGTTAGTTGCCGAGCGGGAAACGAACTCTGTAGGACCGGGTTGGTGTCCGGATGCGAAAATTAACTGTCTCTCGCAAGGCTACTTTCGGAACGAGAAGCTACCTCAAGTCTGTCAGAACGGGATGTGTTTCTAGGTTCGGAGCGAAACATGAGCTCCGATGGGTTCGTTTCCGGGAATTCCGTTGTTAAGACGAAGACGTGTGCAGATTCTGGATTCTTGCACAGTTTCTTCTATGTTTGCGCTTGTTGCAAAGACGTTTGTATGAGCCCTTTATGATTTCAGTTTGACAAGCTCTGCCTTGCTCTCAGGACGGCGAAGACTTTGCACACAAACACTAAGTAAGCACCTCGAAAAGTTCAAACTCAAAGTTTCTCGCTTTCTCATTGCGCTGAGATCAACACGTTCATCTCGAAGTGCCGTGCTTTCGAATGTGCAGGACACAAGCACATCGAACAACTGACATCTGAACTCTTTTTCCTTTCGAATCATTCACCCACCAGCCCCCGCCTTGCTCATAAAGCGAAAACATGTTCCCAACTTCCAATATTTTGGATAGAAGAGCCTCTCGGGTAGACTGGGCGAGGCCAGTGCGCCATGAGAACTGGCAGCGCGTGTCTTTGTTGTTTTCAAGCGCGGGAGTGATGTTCGTACAAGCTTCATCAAGGTTCAATATTTCAGTTTCAAAACCCTGCTTTGCCCCAACACGCGAAGATGTGTGCAGCTTCTCCATTGTTTAGAGATTCATTCCTCCCGCCTTGCGTGCAAAGCGCATGCAAACAGTTCTTTTTTGTAAGCTTTCGGTTGTGGGATTGAACGAGAAACAGAGGCATTTCTTGTCAAGGAAAAACAGATCCTCTGCTCGGTCAGAGCTGGGTTCGTTGGAGGAAGCAACCCGCTTCTAACTTACCTCTGCTCTGCTCTGCTTTCTTGAAAGATGGCGATCATGATGCAAGGCGCGCTACCATAATTCTTTCATTTGAAGAAGATGTTGGAGCCCAAGGCAACAGTTCGTCACTGCGGCTGGCATTTGCATCAGCAAGCTTGTTCAGTGTCACTCGGACAAGCTGTGGGTTCCCAGCTCAAGCCTGGAACAGTGCCTCCGTGCTGGATGTGGAAAGTGCACCGGTTCAGGCCGCGCATTTCCTTCGCAAGAAAGGTTCGAATTCGAATAAAGGAGCAAGATGAGAGGATGCGACAATGCAGCCAGAACCTCGGCACTATGATATGCAAGTGAGGTCGATAACTACATGTTAGAATCGAGATATGGGTTGTAGACTACTGGAAGACTTATCGGCTAATTCTTTCCATGGCCAGTCTGTGGTAATACGGCGAATTTTTGCCGGGTGTCTGCGGTTCACAACCGGATCCAGGACTTCTCTTCAGAATGACTCAGCTCTTCGGGACGTTCGCTCCTTCAGCTTCGGGTAAACGTGTACGTCGATGGTGTCTACACTCATGACAATCCGCCGCCAATATGGCGTTTGTTTCGGGCCTGAGCACTAACACACCATGGTTGCAAAGTTGTCTGCGCAGGATGTTTACCGTGTGCTCTTTGAAGAAGCTGCCGCGAACGGCGTGGGTCCTCTATGATCCGTGTCCCGCTGCAGCTCCATCTGCGTACGTGGTCCTTGTCGTCGTGCTGCGTGGTGCTTCCTCTACGAGTCTTTGATGACTTGCAGTTTTGTCTTCGACGTAGTTTTCGTTTGTGCACCGTTGTCTTTCTGGCACCCTCGATTCACCATGATTGCCGGTTCGACCCGAGAGTTCTGATGCTGCGCACAGGATCCCAAGCTGTGCCTCATTGGCTTCTGCGGCCGCCTTTGCTACCAGAAGGGGATCCACCTCATCATGGACAGCGGAGTTTAACATCGTTTGTGCGAACAAGCAAGAGGTTCGTTACATGCTTCTGCAGTCCGTGCTCTGCCTGCAGGAGTGCCTCCCGTGGCTGATGCGCGATGAGGCGGAAAGCATTCTGCGACTATCTTTCGCTTGCACTTGGCAAATCCGCCAGCGTTTCTTGTCAGGGCAATGGGGTCAACGGCTTCGTTCAGCTTGCGTGGGATGCCAAGAAGACAGCAGGACTCGACTTGCATCGTTGGCCTACCGATGGCAGCAGTGTGAATTTTCCGGATGGAGATGTGGTGGCAGCGGTGTACCTTCAGCCTACAGCTACGGATGTGCACTCGCTCGAGGCTGAACCAGGCAATTCACTGCTAATGAGAGATGAGTGGAATGCACCTGCTCTGAAGGTTGATGGGCAAAGGTGATCCCAAATACGAAGATCAGCTCCGGTCCGTGGAGGTTTGCGGTGTTGATCTCGAGCAGTGGCCGCAAACGTTGCATTCCCATGAGCTGTAGTAGCAGCAGCAAGCCTAGCATTGTGGTTGTCTTGCAGGCTTCGCATCGTGGACGCGTTTGCGCATTTGTCCAGGGCTCTGCCGATTGACTTGTGTCACGAAGATTCCCAGCTCAGCCTTTTGCGGCAGAGCCTTCAGAATGTGCAGAGCCTTCAGAAGCGTCGTTGCTTCGGTGCAAGCTCAACGGTCTTTTTCCAGGAACACGGAATCAAGTGAGCAAGGAGAATCGAATTAAGCCACAACCGATCGGTTCATGTTGCCGCTAGGAGTCGGAAGTGTTTTGAATGTCAACGCTTATTAAAAGCAGAAGTTGTATCCCATGAGTGCAGAGCCTATCGACGTGTAGGGACCCCCGCATCACGTCATGATCATGCTGCCCTTGAAACGATGTTTTATTTTCCTATCCAGGTTGGTTTCGACCCCGTTGTGGAACACCGCATGATGGCCGGATGCGATGTCTTATTGATGCCTTCCCAGTGCCGCATCGAACGAAACCAGGTTGTTTGGGTGCATCAGTGCAGTTGGTTTGCTACATGACATGTTCGAGCTCGGGGCCATTTACTTGTCGTGAGTCATAATGCTTTGCATGACTTCGCAGTCGAGCTTCCCCCCTTCAGAAGCCTGCCAGGTACGAGCCATGCGGCCTCCCGCAGATGTATGCACAGCAGCATCTTTCCTCAAGAAGCGGCCCTCTGACTGAACACACCGGGTGTTGACAGACGTGTCTCAGGTATGCAACGATCCCTGTTGTGCACGAGACTGGAGGTCTGAAGGACGGTCGCAAATCCCAGTCTGTCATGAACTTTTTGCAAGCTGCCTCAGATGTCAGGACTCCGTCCGTGGCCTGTGGAACGTGGAGCACGACAGACACTGCGTTGGTGTCCTGGAAATTTGCACGTGGCAGCTCAGGGTCGGATAGAAGCTGGCTCCAATCTCAAAGTAGCCAAAGGGCCATAAATCTGACGTTTCGGATAGCTTCTTCCTGCACGGCAGTCACAGAATCTTTAGGCTACTGGCTTCCTTTTCGGTGGCTTCGATGCCAATCGCCTCAAAGAGCGACTTTATCAGGCGGGGCATCTAGGCGAGCTCCCGACCGGTGAAGTTCGCTTGGACTCTCTCCCTGCCGTCTCTTCTTTAAGAGAGAATCTTTAAGAGGGCCAAGACCGTTTTCTTGCTCCCGAGTTTAGGCAAAGCTCCATTTAGTACTGTAACTTGACGGTGTCAACAGTGTGCCTGAACTTGAAAGTATAGGATCGAGGGAGTGCCGGATAGCTGTGCAAACGAAGATACAGCATTCACGATTCTTTTGATACGTAGAGATTGAAGAAAGGTCAATTTGCATCGTAGTTACACATGTTGGATTTTGCTTGCTGGTATGACGCATGAGAAGGTGGGTTTGAACACATGAAGGAGGCGTGCTAGAAGGACTGCGCCAATGTATGAAATCTTCGTAACCCCGCTTCACCTCCCAATTGTCTCCTGGTGTCTCGGGATTTGTGTGAACTGCGAGCAAGATCGTCCGGTGGGGTATGGCGGGGATCGCGGCATGATGCGGAGGTCTTGGAGAACTGCAGGACCGATGGGAGATGAAACGAAGCCTGACCATGGCCAAATTATGGGGCAGCGACACTGAGAATGATGTGCACGGGGAGGTGTCAAACCAGTTGGGAAGTCAGGAGCTCGCGGTGCGCCTCAGATGCAATGCGTCGACTGAGCAAGCTTTTCAGGACAACGGTTTTTGTCCAATATCAATGCGGCCTGTCTCTGCTTCAGTCCTTCATCAAGCAAGTCAACACTTCCCCGGGCAACTCTTGCACCTGTTACGGAGTAAATTTCTATGCCTTGCCGGCGATGACCTGGAATGCATGCGGGGCAACAGCTTCCGGGCCGCCACAACTGACTGGGGGAGCTTGTCAATACCCCATCTTGTTTCTTGTCTCTCGCTCAAACAAGGGGCAGGAGCATTCATGGTTGTTCTCCTGCCAATGCAAACGAAAAAGCATGATCTGAGTGTCTGCGTATGGTGTGTACTGGCTTCCTGTTCTTCAAAAAGGGAGTGCTTGAGCGCTTCTTGGTTCCATTGAAGAATTAGATTCCGCATCACATCCCTCGCATGAGTTGGACTTTCGAGGGCCGGCGAAGGGTTGGCAGTGTAGTGATTGCAAACGCATGGGGGAAACGTTCCTGGCGTCACTTGGCTAGGGGGTGTCGCGGATCCTGATCGTCTTGAGTGGCACAGCTTCGCCGAGTTTTCAGTAAAGAACACCGCACCTTAGTGCACAGATTTTCCCAGCATGTTTATCATTTTGGAGTTGGTCTCTTTCATTGTGATCGCACAGAAATGCGTCATTTGGCTGACCCAGCCCCTAAGTCCCACACTCTTGAAGGCCTTCAGCCTCTCAATCCCTGAGCCTGGTCATCACGAAAGCTCGCGTAGCAGAGCTTGAGTTTAGTCTTGCTTTTAGCAGGGAGGCAGTCCAGGGCCGGAAACCAGCGTTTTATTGATAGTATCAATTTAGGGGGGGAGGGAGGGGGGGGGGGCTAAATTGAAC